CTGGAGTAAGCAGTAGCCCTAATAGCCTGCATTGCAATTTACTGAACAAAGGGTATCTCTGGGAGAATGATGATTCAATGTTCATGTTTTCAGTGGTTTTGAAGAGGGACTGTTTTAGTGGAAGTAATAATCTCCTGCAATTTTGTATTATTTCCAGTCTGCTTTAGATTGTTTCATAGGCAGAGAATAAAGAACTTTGTTTACTGTCTTAAAGCAGGATGTCTGATCCTCCTGGGGGAGGTTATTCTTTTATTAAAAAAGATATAAAATAGCTACTTGGATGGAAATAGAACTCTAGGAATTGCAATGGTGATGATTATAGAAGCTGTAGTATTCTAATGCAAAATAAGCCCTAGGAGAAATGTGCCCTAAATGGTAAATCACTCTGTTTTTTAACAAAACAAGAATTACTGCTATTTTATGATTCTTGCTTATTTTACAAGGTCTTTAGCTGTTTCATCTAAACTTAACTTTTACAGGCTGGGGATAAATTGATTGTTGTTTTGCTTTTTAAATAGCTTGGCTTTTTTAAAGCACACGGGAGATGCAAGCAGAGATCAACAGCATAGGATTCATTTGGTGCTCAAAACAGCAGGGAGAAAAGCCATGGCTACTGACACCGTATGCAATAACTGGATGGGAATTTGTTCCCATAATTTGGTGGTGTTTTGTAATCATCTTGGAAGGAGCCAAAGATTATTAATTGAAAAGGACCTCATGGTAATGCTTAGCAATTTGAGGAGGGGGGATATCACCTTTTGATACGTGTGTTTATTGCAAGAGAATGCCTGCTGCCATTTTAGAGGGGCTGCGGGGTTTCCTCAGGGCCCTGAGGGCCCTGCCAGACCTCAGTGGCCCTGACCAGCTTCACATGGGGCTTCCCCTCAGAGACCTGGGAGCTGTATTTATTTAAGCTCAGCCCTGAGCCCTCAGTCCATCCTTGGGCTACACTGGAGGAGTACGGTGTCCAGCTGAGCTACAGCCATGCCTGTGCCTGACCATGGGCCCCACTGATCCAGATGCCAACCTGCAGACTTGACTTCCCAGCCTGACCTCAGATGTGCCTTGTCACTGTGGACTTGCCTGGGGATCAGGGAACCTGACCTGCACATTTGCTTCCCAGGTTGACCTTGAGCCTCCCTCATCACTGTGGTATGGCCTCTTGGTTGGACCTGGCTGCCATCTCAGGTCTGTCCTGCTTGTGTTGCTTGGATGCTGTGGACTTGGGCCTCAGCCAGCAAGGCCCATCCCCAGCCATCCAAAGGATCCCCCTCAGCGCCACATCCCTCAGGCAGCTGCTGGCCCTTGATGCTCCCTGTGACACAATTTCTGTAGTTTCGCTGTTGTGCCTTGAGCGTTTCAAAGGGAGGGTCCCTGGAGGAGGAGGGAGACAACGTGCAGCAACTGTCACAGATCCTGATGGTCTCCCATTGAAGAGGACTGGAAAGAAGCTCCCTTTAGATTTGATCTTCCTAGATGTTCAGCTGATGACAGTGATTGCTGTGGCATGGCAGATCCCTCTTGTGCTAGGGAACACCCTCTTGTTCAACAGTGGGGGAAGGACCACAGGGTCTTGACCAGTGTTACAGGAAAAGAGGAATTGTCTGGTTGCTTTTGCTTTGAACACCCCCAGCAAGGTAAACAATTGAGTATGTGTTGTTCTAAATGGGAATTGCCTACCTGTAGTGGGCAGGGTTCTACTGGTAGGATTATACGTTAGGGGTCTCATGTTCTAGCTCTGTCTGGCAACTTGTGTTTTACTTTAATCGGACTTACCTGCCAAATGTTTGGAATCCAACTTTCTGAGATGTGTTTAGAAAAAGAGCATACTCAATACTGACTTAAAAGCTGAGCACAGAGGAGGGTGGTTGAAAGGGGTAATGTGTCCCAGTTTCTGCAATTTGTGATGACCTAAAATCCTTAATGATGGAAACTAAAAACAGATAACAAAATCTTTGCATCTTTTGTACACTAATGTTAGCTCATGAAAACTCCAAGTAGCAATGTGGAGAAAGTACTGGTTTTGGAGATCAAAGAGCCACCTCCTTTAGCTAATTCAGGGAGTAAGCGGGATGATATGCTGTCCTCTTTGGTCACTGCTTTGGTCAGTTTCTTGCATAATAAAGAAGACACAAGAAGATGTTTGTCTGTGTTGGGATGTCTACCTTGAACTTTGCAAGCTTTTATTCTTTCTGATGCTTGGAACAGTCTCTTGCTAACAATAATTTTATCTTGTAGGAATGCAGTTCTGTACCGTATCTCCCTGAATCTTCATTTTAGAAGCAGCCAAAAGATAAAATGAGCGCAGTGCTCATTTAAAGTCAATATGCTCTAGTTTGCAATTTGCTCATGTTTAAGTGCCCAGCTTTAAAGGTTTCCTTTGCCCACAGGCAGTCTGAATACAAAGGGAGACTTCTATTTTTTTTGTAAAGCAAAAGTTTTGCAAAAGCTCAAAGAGCAAAATATTTCTTTCCACCTTCTGTTGCCTTAGTTTTATTATCACAAAGCAGAGTTTGCCTCTGAAGAATCTAGAGGGGAATGAGGAGAGATAAATTCATGCAGTCACCTCAAGATGCAGCTAGGAATGGGATGATGGAGGAGATGTATGTATGTACATGCATGGGTGAGAGGAGTGAGAAAGTCCCGCCTTGAAGCAGTTTTGGCATTCAGTGCCTTTGAGATGACGAGGTTTACAGGGACAAGGTGTAATGGAAAAAATCTGTACATGTAACTTGTTTCTTTGCTATGAACAAGGCTGGGGTTACATGAAGATGAATAGAAGTTCTGAGTCTTTACTGTATTGCAGTATTGTGTAAATACTTCAGTTTAGAGCAGAACTTCACTGTGGGGTGGGAAAAAGGGAGTTGCAGTTAGATTATAGTATCTTAAAGAAAAGTGTGAAGGGCTTAATAGATTAATATATTTGTCCCAGGAGCTAGTTTTCCCTTCAGAAGCTGTGGGCAGAAGACACAATGTGACATCCAAACCCTACCACAGAGGATTCAGTATGTATCGTAAGCTGTTGGCCATAATGATTAAGTATTGCACGCTGGAAGGAGTGATTATATTATTTTTTATTTATTTTTTAGGATTTCAGAAGCCTTATTTTTGTTGATTGATTCTGTAGCCTGAGTTATTCTCTAGTTTCAGTAGAAATGGAAATAGTGCCTGCGTAGATCTCCTCTGGTGGTCCATCATGTGCTATCTTTGAAGGTTGTCCATGTTGTGTTTTGATTGTGATGATTGCCTGAGGCTTATTGGCATGGTCTTGGTTAATATTAGCACTTACCTGAAAATGAAACCAGCTTCCTTACTGAAGTCCAAGTTCCAGACTGTCAGAATACAGCTGTAAATAAAGGAAACTGAAGAGAGGCATCTCAGCTTGTTTCAAAGGAAATGATAGGTCACACAAGGATTAAAGGACACTTTTCGCTGTGGAGCTTAATTGAGACCTCAGTACACTGCTCCTGCTCAGCAGCATAAGGTCACTTGGAAGGCTACTGTCTGTCAGGGCTTGCACAAAACATGGCACAGCAAAAGAGGCAGTCCAAAGTTCATCATTGGGATGAAATGCAATTTTTCTAAATAAAATGTTAAAAAATAAAATGTTGTAGCTCCCTGGTGATGAAGCTGCTCACAGGTAGAATATTCAGACCTTTATGTAATTAGAGTCAGCGCCTGCACAGCAACAGTTTCATCCCTATGATACTGTTTTCCTGTGATGTGAGAAGGTATACTGAATTTGCCCATGGTGTTTTCTTTAGGGAGAGTGTCTTCACTTTGCAGTTTAGGACTCTGCATCATTCCTTTTCTTTTTTCTTATATGGGAAAAAAAAAAAAAGTGCGCCTGTGTGCGTATATTTGTGTGTGTGTATACATATATTTTTTTTTTTTTGCTTAATAGAGGATATTCTTTGTGTGCCTGTTTGACAAGATCGGCCAATAAAAGAAGCCCTGCTTTGGCTTTGAGGCCTGTGTACCCCAATATCTGCAGGGCTTACAATGAAATGAAGAGTCTGTCATTTTATTTCACATGGCTAGGGTTTCATTATGCTGGGAAAAAGTCTTATTTCTCAGTATGTAAGCTGGTTCTTTATTGGCCACTTGCTGTGAAACTTCTGAAATACATATATCTACCAAAGGGGAGCTTCTCTGATTTCTCTGAGACACGCAATTGCATAAGGAAAAGGAAAGTTCGGGCATTAGTGCTAGTGAGAAGCAGCAGCATTCTCGTTGGGCAGTATCCCTGCAAGAACCAGCCTTTGATCTACTTTTTCTGTTTAGTGTTTCTTTATCTTGTCGATCTGTTATAAATTTTAAATAAGCTTATAGCCAGTTAGATCTTATGGACTTAGCAAAGGGAAGATGTCAGAAGGGTAGTGTTTCACGTAATTTAGCTATTAATCTCTAACTATCCATTTTTTTAAGTTACCATTGCATTGGACCGTTTGAGAAAGGTGTTAGTTTAACAGCAGGTCTTGATGTTTTGTAGCGTTCTGTAGTCTGCGACTGAGTGTATTTTATCAAATGGAAATAAACTTTTAATGGTATGTAAGATTAACTGCTCTGAAAGAAAATGGTCCTGTTCACTGCAGAACTGAAGTAATGTTTTTGCAGACAAAAACTCTATTCCTCCTATGCTGGGCATTGAAGAGGAAGCTTACAGCAGGTTTAAATATAAGGTAGTTAAAGCAGGTTTAAATATAAGCTAGCAGTAGTCTGTTAGTCAATAGTAGGTTGCCTCTAAATATGAAGTCCTTGATAGATGCTTCACACGATTTCCATTTACTGAGCTGAGCCCAGTCATACCAGCATAGTTGCACCATGCTTTTTGAGACACTAAATACTTCTTTCTCTGAGTCTCTAATTGCAAGTTGTTGTAATGTTTTGTTTCAACTGAGGAAGCTGAAATCAATAGGATAGTTATACTGTGATGGTAGAACTGAACAGCTTTTGCTTTTTGTTTTTTGTTTTTTTTTTTTACCTGCTTCTTTAGGAACAAAGCCCCAGTAACCAGACATCAATAGCAATGATGCAAGAGCCTCAAGAAATGGTGGAAGAGACAGTTACTGTGGAGGAAGACCCAGGCACTCCCACTTCCCATGTATCTATTGTCACTTCTGAAGATGGAACCACAAGGAGAACTGAAACCAAGGTGAGAGGTTAATAACCAATGAGGAAAATGGGAAAATACCACCTAATTGTGAAATAAAAATAGCAGGGAGTAGCATTAGTGATGACAATCATGCTGTTGTGATCCTCAATGATTTTGAATATTCTCTGTGCTAGCGAAGCTGAGTTCAGGGCTTTTTTAGTTTCACCTCTGTGTATGTCTAGTTTGCTCCCTATCAGCTCTGCTGATACAGCTGTTCATGGAGCTGTGGACTGAACAGTAGAAATTATCCAGGTTAACCAAACAAAAACACTAGAAGCCTTTCCCAGACTGGTTATTCTTTTAACATTTGCTTTATTTTACTGAAACAGTTCATGACATTGCCCCACAAACACATACAAGAATTAGATGAGTTGATAGGGCTTGAAGTAAATTACTTCTGCAGATGAGGAAAATGTCCTTCGAAATATGTCTTCAAATTAGTTATGATCTATAATAACAATATGCGATTATGCATTTGTCCTTTAGAACAAGAAACATCCTATTTAAGTAATACCATAGTGTTTAAATTCTGCGACAATCTTGTGAATGGAATTTTACTCCTGATGCATGGGGAAAGCTGGGTGTGTTCTCAAGTGACTGCTGCCTCAGGTTTGGCTGGATGACAGGTGTTGCCTATGTTCTAATTTTCCTGATACCTTTTTGTTCCCTTGTGTAGGACAGTTTTGTAGTCTCTGTTGAGGATATGCTGTGTGTTCATGGCAGCCTTGCATGCTCTCTGCTACCACTGGAACGTTAATACACCCTATCATTGGCGTCTTTGAATTTGAGCTGAAGTCATTGTTAGGTTTTGGTCTTGTGAAAGATTAAGGGTGATCCATTTTTAAAAACTTCTAAACAGCACTGATTTAAAAAAAAGAAGAGACTGTCCAACTGCTTTCTGTGTTAAAAGCAATTGAACAGAGGTCACTGCATAAATCAGTGCTTATTTTTACGAGTGTTCCAGAATTGCAGCCCTCTAAGGTACCTATTCAGGACATGAGATCCTCAGGTTGGAGGAAGTCAACGTTGGTTTCCTGAGATCAGTGGGCCTGTGCACATTACTATAAACTGAGTATCTCGTTTAATATTTGTTGCAATTAGAAGATAAATATAACTGGCCTATTTTTGCATTGTTGGAAGGAGATGAAGGTCTTAAAAATAAAACACACTAAAAAACCCCCGCATTTTAATTAGCTTTTCAAATAATCTAATGTATTTAGTATGTGACTTACTTGAAAGAAATGCTGTTTTCTTTCTAGTGGCAGCAACAACAACTGTTACAGGAAGGAAGTGATAAAATTACAGTTGTGATGGGCACCTTTTTATATGAACTAATAGTAGCGCATAGTTTTAGGAGACTGTAAGTACAGCTATGCAAGGGAATAAAATGATAGCTACGACTGTAAAAATAGAGGAGAGGCCATGCAGTGGTCCCTAGATAATGGGGCTACATGGAATGAAATAGTTTGTCTGAAATAGTCATGCCACTGATAAAGCTGCATGTTTGTCATAGCTTAAAAGGTGCGATTTTCTCCTGTGTGTGGTGTACCCGCTATTTTTCTATCTTCCCACAGAAAAGGGCAGTGGCAGCTCCAAAACAGGCATTGTGTCTGCATATGGGAAAAGAAAATTGAAAAAACAGCAACCATAGAGCTACTGTTCCATTTCAAAGAGCAAGGCGCTCTTCCGTAACTGTAGTTCATTCCAGGCACTGACGTATATCCAGAACGGGGGGAGGGTGCATAGCTGTCTTGCTCTGCATTTATGTTGTTTGAAATAATGCCGCTGACTTCAACTTACATACTGTCTGGTGGTGTTTCCTAGTATTCCTGAATTTCCTAGTATTGCTAAAAAGACCGACTCTTAAAGTAATTTAAAAAAAAAAAAAATCCAGTTGCAGAGAAAAGTCATTTTGAAATGTCAAAACACAGATAGGTTTGGCTTAGCCCTAACCCTGTCAGAAGAGGTGCTGTGACTTTGCTGAGGTGGTTCTTGTCTCTGAAATGCTTTTGTTTTGACTTTTCTTTGCTGTGATAATATAGCATATATTTAACAGGTCTTAGATATGAATCTGAGGTCAGATTTGTTGTATTTGGTTTTAATGACATCATTCTTCAACTTGTTTTTTGTTTTGGTAGGGAATGTAAAAACAAAAACTGTTGTCACTGGAGTTTAGTAGCATCAGTTAAGTGTCCTGGAGTTAATTGACATCGACTTTCTATCACTTCTAATGGGTATCATCATGGTGCTTTCATGGGTTGTACTATTATATGCAAGAGCCTTATGGAGAAAATTAAGTTTCTTGGTACCTCTGTGCAGTAGGAAAGTTCTGACCTTGCTGCTCAGATGAGGATGGTGAAGGAAAGTATTTTTCTGGGTTGAGATACGCAAACCCATGTCCACTGGGCATGCAGTGTGCATTAGGATCTTTGTTGAGCCCAAAACTGCTGTTCTGTGCCTCTGCCTGTTCCCTCCCAGATTTAAAAAGAAAAAAAAAAAAAAAGAAAAGAAAAAAAAAAAGGAAAAAAAAACCCCAACACCTTACCCCCAAAACCAACCAACCCAAACCCCCATGTATCTGGCTTAGCTCTTAGCATGCCGATAGTACTTACCTTGTAAAGGAGTAACATTTCCTATGGTGCGAAGCCTCACATCTATTTTCAGTAATATCTAATCTGTTATTTAATAAGGGTGATGTTTAAAGTTTAGATGGTCACACTGTGTTCATTAAATGTTAAAGGGGTTAGGTTTATGCTCAACTTTTTTTTTTTTTTTTTTTTTTTTTACTTTGATTAGTTAAGTCAGGGTAGTTAGCACAACATACAAATAAAGGCTTTTATGCTCTGCATCGCTGTGCGTGCTCTAGGCTTCTTTGGTTTGAGAACCTATTTTTATCACTTCTGCAGCTAGAAGGCTCTACTGGACAGTGCCTGTCACAATCTCCAGCATGTTTGTCTTGCAAAGAAAGTGGCAGCACAAGATGCTTCCTTTGACAGAGTAAATAACACAGGTCATGGGTTTTTAAGAGCCAAAGAGACCAGAGATGTTTTCCGAACGTATGCTTTCTTTGTGGGATAGCTTATGTGGGGATTAGTCAGCCTAATGCCATTTAGTATGCATTTTTTTTGATTCTTCAAAAGAAAAATGTTACTTATTGTTGCTAAATTGTGTGAATCTTTGGCTTGGTGGAGAGTATTGCCTCTGAAATTCCTCTTCTCGAAATGAAGCATAGCAAAAGCTGTAAACGTGAATGCTCCTGTATGCTGTTGTTCCTTTATTCTCCCTTCCCCCATTGTTTTGAAACCATAATTTATAGAGGTTACTCTCTTCAATAGTGTATTAAGTAAACAACCTTAATCTAGAAGCATTGAGAGTTTTTTGAAGATGCCTGTAGCAGTGAAGCAGGAAGAAGGCATAATAGAATTTAATATTTGACATAGTTTAAATAGAGAACATCTGCCTTTTCAAAATGAGATCTCTCTGAGTAATTTTCCCCAAACTGTTATTCTCTTAGTATTGTACTAAGTCCCTACATAACATTCATGGCACAGAAGATGTAGCAGATAATACTTCATTTCAACTTTATAATTGCTCTGGAAGCCAAATACCTATCATGCTGAAACAGTGAAAGTCACCTTGGGGAGAGACTACCACCTCTTGCTTGTCGGCTGGAACCCTGCCACATGTTAAAGGGAGCCTGTAAGTGGCTCAAGAGAACTCAGTAAAGCAAATCAGATGTGTGTGCTTGCGTTAATGTTTGCTTTTTTCTTTCTGCAGGCACCTTTCATTTTTATCTTTGAAATGCTAAAAGATTGGAGGGATTTAGGTCACTTTTATTCATTGAAAATGATCTTTTAGGATAACAAACTGTGAAATCAGTCTGTCTACAAAGTTGTTTAATTTGTAGTCCACCCCTTTGCCTCGTGCTTTCTAATACTCAGCAAGCAAGGCGAGGTCTTTCCCAACAGTGAGTAGCTGCTGGTCCCACTTCCAAGAACCAGCGATGGGGAAGTGCTTGTGGCTGAAACTCATTGGTTGTGGCACTGCCAGGTACCTCGAGATGCAGTTCTTCGAAACTTTGCAGAAAATTTAAGGGAGTTAGGTAATAGAGCAGGAAGGGATTTCAGCCAAAATTGAGGTCCCTTTCAAAATGTGAAACGTTAAGCTTAAAATTGAAGGGGAGCAATTTGAGCTGTTGTTTTGATAACCTACGGGGTGAGTACTTACACAGCACTTAATAGAAAGGTAATAGTGTCAACCTGCTTGGGCTGATTAATTTTTACAGTCCGTAGCTCAAAAATAAGCTCTCAGAAATATCAGAACACTTTTATCCTTGTGCATTCCTTCTCATCTGTTTTTTGTTTTATGACATAGTTTCAACAAAATTTTTAGCCCTGTCAGCTTTTATAATGTACTTACTTCCACACACATCCCTCCCCCCCCCCCAAAAAAAAAGGGGGGGGCAAAACAAAATCAACCTCAATAACAAAATGGAAGGCAAAATTACAGCTATGGGTTAAGATGACTACATTTGACCATGATAGCCCACTTCAACTGAAGTCTCAGTACTGTCTTTCCTCCTCTTGTGTCTGAGCACTGTGCACTTTGAGGGATCTGTCTGTACCATGTGCGCATGCATCTGATAAGTCCATTCGTTGGATGTTTTCATGTTTGTTCTCCTATGCTTCAAGACAAGTAGAAGGATGAGGGTCAGAAAAATAAAGAAGCTGCTTCAAATGTGCAAATATTTCCTTTGTGTCCTCTTGGCAAACGTGATTCCAGAAATAGAATTAGTGAAAACATTATAATGGGGCCTGTAGGGGATTTATTTAAGAAAATAATTACTGTCGGGGGGAAAGAACAAGGATAGGGTCAGTAAACCTGAAGTGCACTTATTGTCTGGGGTGGGGGGAGCAGCAGTGAAAGCACTAACTTTCAGTCTCTTGGGATTTTAGTGCAGAGGGCCTGAATAAGTTGGTATATTGGAACTTTTTTTTTTACTGTGGTCGAAACTTTAATATAGTTCACAGGGAATGAAGAATTGCGAATATATTTTAAACATGGACAGCCTCTTCATAGGGAAGTAATCTGAAGCTTTTGTCTGGTATTCTGAGATTGTAATATTGAAACAATTGAGCACCTTTGATTTGTAATCAGGCTTATTTAGAGATGGAAAGTAGACAGAGGAAGTAGAGTTACACTTTCTCAAAGTAACTTATATCTCTAAATTTTTCATTAGAGCATATCTGTAGTGAGGAGTTAATGCTGATAAATCTTTCTCAAGATCTGATGCATCTGGAGGATCTCAGATAAGACAGTCTGCTGGGACTCCCATTTGGAATAGCTTTGTTCTCTCTGGCTAATGCATCAGTATTAAGGAAACCACAAAAATGTTGGTAGAGAGGATTACTATGCTGTCAGCTGCTCAAGACAGCCTGTGTTCTTTTAAGGAATATAAATGAAATATTCCCTTGAGCTGGATTTCCTGAAATAAAGATGTTTGGTTTGGTGGGGGTTTTTGTGTGGGGTGGTTGGTTTTTTTTTTTTTTGGTTTGGTTTGGGTTTTTTTGCTTGGAAACCGAACAAATGGGCCTTCCTCTGTATGCTGACTAATTGCTTCCAAAAAGCTTCCCTTTATTGTCCTGTAGGCAACAAAGTCTGTTTATCACATGACAAATCTTCTATCTCAATGCCTACACCTGACAAATGAGGCATGCAAATACTCCCTCTCTCTCAAAATATATAAAGACTCTGTTTGATTGCCCCACCATAACACCTTTAGCATTATTGAATGCTTTTATGCTATGAGGAATGTGTACTTTAGTGCTTGAGTGAAATGTACCTTTTTATGTGTCTGACAAGGAGGTTTTGATCGTCCTGATTCATTCCACTCATTAATAAGGTCAGTGTTCAGAAAATAATAGAGGTGAAGCTGTGCTAACATTGTAAACTTGTTCTTACATATGCCGGCTGATGCTAAGTGTGTCTTTTTGACTAGCCACAGCCATTTAAATCTTGTCTATGCTAGTCTTGAAGACAGGAAAATAAAGCGAATTAGGAAAAAATTGCAGATTAATCTTCTACATTCTGTGTTGGTCATATTAAACAAAAATAGTCTCTAAGTACTCTGTAGAGTACCAGAGCATGGTGAAAAACTCATTAAGTGGTAACTGTTAGGTCAGAAGTTGTCTAGGAATTGATTTTCAAAGTGTTCTGAAATTCTGCTTTGTCTTTTTTCATACATGTACTGAATATTGATAGACAGTTGTCCTTACCGTAGTGTTTCTGCATTGCGTTACCTGATCCTGTTTGACAATAACAGTGATTCTCAAAAAAAAAAAAAAAAGTTAAAGTCAGAAATGAGCAAGAGTCCAGTTGATAGTAGGAATGCTGGGTGAAGACATACAGCAGCAATGCCTCCTCTGCAAAACCTTTGTCCAAAGATCCTGCAGGACAGAGTTCCTTCTTTTGTGCTGTTGCTGCAGCCAGACGTGTTATGTTGGGTATCTTGCCTTGTCCGATCTTGACAACTTCGTGAAAAATCACACATGACAAACTATGCATGCACGGCAATGTATGTCTTGAAAAGCAAAACTTGGATTTAGATTTAAAATATCTGGCTCCAGCTGAATAGTGCTGAAAGAAGGAGCTTTGTGAGCTTACGTGAGTGGTTTTCTTGGCGTCTAGAAAGCTGCCTCTTTTGTTCCTTCCTGAGCAAAAGTATCAATTTCTGATTCATCAGATTGTTGAAATGCTGCCTTCCTTCCTGTTATTCCTGTTACTGGTTCCCAAATTCAAGAATGCAAAGGCCCAGCACTTTGCATCCATGTCATTGCTTTGCAAAACTCCCATATTTTGGGCCTGAGAAATACTGCTTTTTCACCCTTAGAAGATTATTTATGAACATGCTACTTTGAATAAAACTGTTGTTTAAGACTTCAGTAGAATACTGAGCTGTGTTGCCTTGTACATATCCACTTTACAAAGAGCTACTGTAAGCTACGCCAGCTCTTTTTCTTCTCTAAATGCTGTCTAGTTTTATAAATGCCATGACAGTAGTCATGCTGGTAACTGAGGGGGAAGTAGAAGTATCGTGCGCAGGTAATAAGCAGAAACCGCTGTTGGTTTCTATGTCATGAAATAAACTATTAGCTTCTAGTTTCCTTTCTTTTAGTTATTAAAATGTGTACTTAAAAAAAAAAAAAAAAAAAAAGATTTGGAGGCATGGAAGGTAGCATCTTTCCTGATGTTTCTTGTTAAGGAAATCCCTCTGGGTTGAAGAGGAAAATTCTTTCAGCTCTGGCCCAGCCTGGATACTAAGGTCATGTTGGTACCTGGCTATGCTTTATTCAGCTTTGTGACGCTCTTTAATTATGCTATTGGTGGAGAGCCATTTGTACTGCGCTCAGTCTTGCAGGATTTCATTACTTCATTAGGCTGAAGTATCGTTTGCTCACAGATATCTCTAGGAAAAGAAATGCTGTTTGGGTGATTTTTTTCTGTTTGGGGTTTCTGTGTGAAAACATCTGGCTAGAGGACATGTCTGGAGCCACTTCAAGAGGTGTACTCTAATTATTTTGTTTTAGCAGCAGCTTGGCTAATGTGGTGCCAATCTAAATGTTTCAATCGGAGGCTGTAGGTCAAGATATCTATTTGGACTTCAGAGCCACTGAGCAATTGAGGAATGAATGTTACAGTTGCTTTTTCTCTTGATGTACGCATTTCATTTTGTGGCTTACATGAAGAGGAGTATCATTTACTGAGGCTTATTAAGCTCTGTAATACTCTAGAAACCCAAAATATCTCTTAACAATTTTGTATTGTGTTCCTCCCTTCCCGATGTGTAATACTGTCTGGTGGATTGATTATTCCTCTTATCTTTGTGGGTGTGTTGTTTTATTGCTTGGTTGGGTTATTTTATTTTTTTTTTATAAAGGGCTGAAAGTCAGAGTTAGGGTAACCTTTTATAGGTTAAAGTAACTTTATTAGGGTTAGGGTAACCAAGGGTAGATTGACCTCTGCTGGACTCTGTACCCCAGAAAAGCTTTTGCTGATCAGTCTGGAGGACAGTACAGAAGTTGATAGACCCCAGATACCAGCCAAAACAGAAGATCCTTTGCTAGTTTGTAAATAGTAGTTGCTTTTGTCTGATGCTGTCTTACGCAGATTACCAGACATTTCCCATGAGGGCAGAACGTTCTTGGAAACTCTTGAGGAGTCTTTGTTCTTACCCTTTAGCAAGAAACCCTGCACACAAGTGCTGTCTGCACACTTAACATTTCCAGGTTTTTTTCAGTTATGTGAAGTAGTCTAATTCTATGATGAAATGAAATGTGATTTATAGGACGAAAAGATAAAGATGTATTTGTGTACTGATTTTTCTTTTATGTTTCAAACAAGCTTGTCTAGCCTAGTATGTTTAGGGTAGTTGCAGTTGCAAAAGCTGTGTGGCGTTAGTGTTCATTATTGCAAATTTGTTAGTCACCGAAATAATGGAATGACAACAGCTACCTGTTGGGCTCGTATGGTGATCATCAAATGTAAGCATATCTTAAAAGAGAAAGTAGTTGTGCTGTCTAAAAGCTTGAAGCCCAAAATTTTTCTGTTTGAGATCATAGTTTCCTAAATACTACTGCCAAATTTGAGCTCCATCTAGTTACACAGTGGTACAAACTTGATCCAGATCAGGCAGGAACATATCACTATTCCTGTCAAACTAGGGAATGTGATGTGGTATTTATGCTAGTTGTGGGAGGACAGGCTGTGGCTCCTCAGCACTGTATAGTCTGCTCTAGGAAAGATGTCTCCTGAAAACATTGGGCAAATTTGAACTGATATGATGACTTTGCACTGCTTCCCCGCACTGTCACGTGGCTTCAGTGGTTTTGATTTGATTGTAAGAGCCCCAGAGTGCACTTAACTCTGGCTCTATGACCCGTCTTTTCAGCTTTTTATAGAAATATTGTCCCACTATAGGTGAACTCATGAGGACGCCAGTACTTCCATTCAACAGGCATGTCACTGTAGTAGTATGCTTTGTGATGCTTTCTCCCCATATGACTCATCACGTTGTGCAGCAAGGAGAAAATTAACGTATTTATTTGCTACTTCTTCACAGGTTACCAAAATGGTCAAAACAGTTACCACCAGAACAGTGCGTCAGGTGCCACTTGGGCCTGATGGCCTGCCATCGATGGATGGCTCATCTCCCATGGGCAGCTACACAGATTCAATAGACAGAAGGTACATGAAGAATGGGGAGCGGTACATCACGCCACAGGCATCATCCACGTTAACCAGATCTTACAACAGCTACAACGATTCTTACCCTGAAAGCCACGAAGGCCAGTATCGCCCTTACATCGGTCATGATGGTTATGGAGATCTGTCTGATAACTATGGCAGTTTGTCTCGTGGTGTCAATTACCGTCCTCGCTACGCCTACGTGCCAGGAAACAGTTACAGGCCAGATGACGGTAGCTTCACTTTGCCAAGCAGAAGGGATAACTATGGTCCTGTTGCCCAGCCTCAAGTGCCAGTGGGTAGCAACGTTGACTTGACCCGCTCCCAGCCGGAGCGCTTCCAGCCAGAGCCCTATGGACTGGAAGATGATAACCGCAGCCTTGGAGCAGATGATGAAGGGTATGAACTGGATCCTGATTACTCCACTGTGAACCGGAGGACATCTGCAGGTGTGCCAGAGAGAGGAAGACCTCACAAAGGAAGGTAAAAGCCTTTTTCTTTTTTTAACAGTGCTAATCTGCAGCGCTTTTGCTTGTTTGAACGCATACGTTTGAAGTCTTAATAGTCTGCTAAGTTCTGGAATGACTTGACAGAAAAACAGGTAGAACCCATTGTTACATTTGTCCATAAAAGACTGCAAAATGCATATGAAATACAGAAGGGAATGGGGGTAGTGCTCAAGAAGCCTTTCATGGTGTTTCTGGGCTGCTTAATTTAGGTTGAATTTAGAAAGAAAGATATAATCTTGTATAAGAGGGCTAAGTTACTTTTTTCCCCTCTTAAGAGTTGTGACTGCATTGTATTTTCCCAGAGCCATCCCATACTAGCAAGGTGAAAAGAGGGATTTCTAGTCTCTGAGACTTCTGACAGATCTGGTTACGTGCACATCTGCCAAACAAAAATTTTGAACAGCTGGTTGGGGTTGCAGCCAAACTGATACCTGGTGGTGAAGGGATGTCTTGTCATATAAAAACTGTCTTGTGAGGTGTTTGACAGCCTCAGCTCCTGATCCTGTGCTAACCCACACTCAGCTGCCTGACCAAGTTGTGCTGAACCTCACTGAAGTACTTCAACATTTTGTAAGACGAGATCATTATTTTGTCCTGTGCCTATACAAAGGGGAGATAAGAGCATCTGTGTTGCACTTAATGTAACTAAAGTGACCAGTCACAAATTACTTCTGGTTCAGTCCCCTTTCCAAGGGAAGTTCTATTTTATGCCATATTTTCTGATACTATTTTGTTTATGCTGGGCTCACAGCTATCAGCTCTTGCATTTGGAGGGAAAAAAATAATATGAGCTTGGGAAAAGAGTCTTATTGTTCAGCTGAAAGTCATCTTCTGAGTGTGAACCTGACTATACTTTTTTTTTCCAAGCAGTGTACAAACTTGCGTGTGCCTGCATGAAGTATTATCCTCATGATTCATGTTTTGATATGGATTTAATTCTCATTGTTTTCCTTTTAATTTAGTGTAGTTTCCGGAGCTATGAAGAGAGTCTAGAACCCACCTGCGTCTGTGAGTGTAGATGGTCCTTAGATGTAATATTTCTGACCAAAGGCTTCACTTTATCAGCAGTAGTTGTCAGTGGGGTTTGGGTAGGCCTTTTCGCTCTCATACCTTGGGGCACTCCTACTTGGAGATGTTGTCATTCATGGTTTTGTTCATACTTTCATAATTCTATCTTCCTTCACATTTCTGGAAGTTCATTTTAAAGCTAAATGGAATTGAGGACCTGCAAATTGTCATCTATATTTAAAAAAACAAAAGAGAGAATAGGTATCAAGGGATATCTCCCAGAAACCCCTTTAAATCCCTTTTGTGACATCTTTGATCTTGCAAGCTTACTGACCAGTGGAACCACGTTAACGTTTCATGGGGCTAAAGGGAAATACGTGCAGTCAGTGGGTGCCAAAATACTGATCAATCTGTCAGACTTTAATTGGTGCTACCCAGCATTTAAGCAGTTTTACAGTTGTTGTTAAAAAGAGGCATCAGTGCTTTTAAATTTTTATTAATGTTTTTCAAACTGTATGCATGATGAATAATTAAATGTATTCTTAGAACCTACCCATTTGCATTTTTAAAGTTTTTTAGTGGTTGGTTTTTTTTTTAAACATTCCTTTGATTTATTGTTCCTTACAGTTTGGATAGGACCAATTCACAATTTTTGTTTTACAGTTCTTTTGTTCTGAGTTTTCTTCCGTACTTAATATGATCAAGAGGCTTTGACAAGTAATTAGCCTGACTGTGGCAGCAAACTTTTGCTGGTGGGAACGTAAGAAGATTGTATGAGAGCCTATTCATAAGTAGTTGCTTTTTGACATTTCAAAGAAATACTTGAACAATTCAATAAACCTGCTATTCAGATATGCTACTGATCTGCAAGACACTAAAGACTACCAATAGTGCTTTGTACTAGATGAGGGTAATTACTACTTGATTATTCATCTCTTAAGTTTTTCAAAGTAAATTTTTGAATTTAAAAACTTTTTATGTATAGAGTAGGTGTAATAACGGCACTGTTAGAAGCTTTTCTGCGTCACACAAACTTTGAGCTTGGGCATCTTCATCATGTTGCAAACAGAATTCTTCTGTTGCCTAACTCGCTGTGGAAACTGAAGTTATTCTCTCATTTTCTTTCCAGTAAGTGCTGCCCTCATTTGTTAATAGTTTAAAGGTAAAGATCCTTACTGCTGTTCCAAGAGGACTGAATGGAGGTTTCTCATCTGAATCTGTGGTAGTGAGTCTCACCCCCTACGTGATAAGGAGGCAACCAGCTGTGTCTGGAGAGGATCTTTCTCAAGGGGATTACAAGTACAGATTGTTCTTTCCATCCCTTACTTGCTCCATTTGATCAACAAATGTCATCACCAGCCTCATTTTAAGCTACTCTACATTTAATTTTATATTGGGGAAAAATTTGCCTCCTTGCAAACACCTGCAAATCCAGATAAGTGCACAAAGGCAAATATTCCCTCTGTTGGCTCTTCAGTGCTTGTACCTGGGTTTGTTTCTTGTTTTCTGCTGAGTCTCTGCTGCACAATAGATTATTTTCTGCAAGAAGAATACCTGGCACTTAATGTTCTTTTCTTCAGTATGTGCTCTGGTTTGGATTAAGTCAGATTGCATAATAAATTGAGGTGAGAGAAGGGCATTTGGGGTGTTTAATACTGATTTAATATTACTCAAATTTGCTTGTGAAGGTATTTAGACATTTTTAATTTGCTTTATGCCCTTTTTTCTTCATTTGGTAGGTTGCCTTTATTAAATTAGATGGGATTTTTATTATCCTCTTTAAAAATATTTAGTTTTATGGTGTTGGTAGGTGTTCTATGTGCAGTCCTTTTTGGAAGAGAAGCAGGAAGTACTGAATATTTTTCATTTACAAAAAACTTCACTACTATTATTTGAGTATTTTTTAATCATTAAATGGAAGTTAATACAAATGAGCAGGAAAAAAATGGCAGTCATAATTAATCTTTTTTTTTTTTTTACATTACCTTCTGTTCAACTTCTTATTTGTTGCCTCTGTGGTAATTTCTTTCCAGATCTACAGTTTGCACTTCTTCTAGCATTCATGGGACTTCTTTTTCCCTAAAAATTCTTGAGCAGCTATTGCCAGTGTTACTATTCCAGACTAGACAGGATATGAATTTTAAATGTTGACTAAATCAACAACAGAACAGCTTTCTGCTGTTAAATTTTCTGTGGCAAAAGCCTGATCTAAGAGACTGAGATTATATTTGGTGACCACTTCATGGTCCAAATTATTATTACCAGGAAATGAGCCATATTCTAGACTAAATAACTGTAACACAAGGTCTCTCTTGCTTCTGTTACGTATAGACAGTGTGAGAATATTGATATCATGTATATGTTAGTCATGTTCTACTTCTGCTGTCTCTGTTCAATCTCGATTATATAGGCTTATGTTTGTAGATAAACTTTCAGTCAGCACTTCTGGCCTAACTTCACCTATTTCAGATGTGGTCTCGCAGCAGGAGCCATGCAGGCATCCTTAAGGCTGGGAAGATATCTATCACTGTAAACAGGCCTCTTTGGTTTAATGACCAACCATAAGTGTAATACTAGGATGTAGGCAGCGTTGCGATGTTGTCTAGTTTGGGGCAGGAGTGTATGGACATGTCTGGGCAGAACATGATGAAGCAAAAAAGGCAGTCAGTTTGGAAAAGATTTGTTTTTTTCTGAGGCTTCTCTTTAGAATTTGATCTCAGTTTGTTGATCTTGTGGTAGCAGAAGACTGACGTATGGCTGAGTTTTTAATGTGGCAGGTGGCAATCTGAGTCAGCTCATCCATTAGCAGCTTTTAGGTGGTTCCAGTCAAGGGGATTTTGGTGTTTAACTGTGTGGCCCATAACTCAGAGTGGTCTCAGCAGAGGATTCAGTGCAGTTTTGCATCCTTTTGTGTGTCCCCCCTGTGAGGGAACAGAGGCTGGCAAAAGTAGGACCTTGTTCTGCAAAGTTTTTAGATTTCCTCTTCAATGTTTGGCACATAGGTCCCTACTGAAATATCAAGCCTTTCTGGTCTTTTATCATAAGCAGACACCAGCTGCAAACTGTGATGAATGTAACACTTGTATGAATTGTTGAGGATTAAATGTGTAAATCCTTCACCTGTTTACTCAGATGTGCCTATGTTGAAGCCACAAGGAAGATGGTAAATCCACAAGCTCTCTCCCAGTTTTTATCTATGCTAGAATGTGTTTTGATCAATTCCCTGAGACAGGTGATTAGTGAGACCCATGGCATCCTGAAAACTCAGCTGCCTTGCTACAAACAGATGGAAGGCAAGATGCTTGTAGTCAGCAACTCTGGCATACTACCAGGTCTCTTCAGTCCTGAGAGGAAAGAGCTCTTGGCCTCCTGAGCACAGATGATTGTATCTGCTGAAGCTCTCAGTAGTCCTTCTTCTGTTCAAGTGGCTTTCTTTTCCAATGTAGCTGCTGTGCTGGTGTGAAAGTGAAAAATCCAATTTGTCCCCTGCCAGTCTGAGTCAGAAAGATGATTTCTGTAGTCTGTGTGTAAATGTGTTGCTAATTTTACTCATTTGTGTTCAGAAACTGGGTGTGTTCAACTCCCTGATAGACACTTGCTTGGATACCTTCAGTCTTTGCCTAGCCTGCACTTCTCTGGCCTCCAAGCACCCTGTTAAAGCAGAGGAGGTGGGACTTGACCTGGGCCAGACCATCCTCACTCACACAGAGAGTGGGCATCTCTGTCTGCCAAGGCCTTGTGGTAGTTCTGGATTCTGCTGCCTGATAAGTTACTTTGCTCCTTTGCAAATGATCTATTTTGGTAAACTGCTTCCCTTCAATGCTGTTAATGTTTCCTTGAGGATGCTTTGCTGCTTCTGTGGGGATGAGGCCAGCCGTATGTGCTGTGGTCACCACTTCACCACAGAGCAGTGGCTGGTGGGTTCTAAGTAATGCTGCTCTTCCCACCACCACCTGCGTGGTTCATCCTAAAACAGCCGCAGCTCTCTGTACCCGCTCAGGAATGCAACCTCTTCCCTGCAGCATGAAACACTCAGCATCTTCCCATATCCTGTTCTACCCCAGGTCTGTGTCCTGGGGATTTCATTAGAGAGGGATCATCAAAGGCAAGGATCATTAAAGCCTATTGGTTGTCTTTGGTGCATCAGTAGCTTCATATCGGAACAACAGAAGAAAAAAAAACATTTAAAAAAAGAAAAACAAAACAAAAAAACTTTCTTAGCGTAAGTAGGAGGTTGGGATGTGATCTTTTTTCCCTTTTTTAATGACTGATTCTATACTTCAGGTATTCATAGTCATATTTGATAACTAGTGATTGACAGTTAAAAAAAAGGTAGTATTGTTGGTACAAGAGTTGTGTGGTGCTCTGTCTTGTCGTGACAGTGTTGCAATTTAAAGTCCTAACTCTGAAGTTTTATTTTGGGCAAATGTAGTAAAACCAAGGAGCTTTGTGTGGCACAGGGTCTGAGAGGATACAGCGTGAGGAAGACGGGTCTGTCTATGTGGTTCTGTTTGGAAGGCTTCGTGGAAATAATGCAAACAAACTGCATCCCAAGACAATAATTATCTTTGTGTATTTGCATGGGTGAGAAGGCAAGAGAAACTTAATTGTGCAGGTGTAATTGAGGTGGTGTACAGTTTTCTTGTGGGCAGCTCATAGGACTGAGACGTGCTGAATTGTGAGTTACCAAGTCAAGCAAGCAACAGCTGGCAGAAGGCAATTATTAGAATTAATCTTCTGCTACTTTTGTTTTATGCAGTCAATAGGAATTTAACATGAGGATGAGTTTGAGGAATGAGTTTTTGTTGTAGTTTTCATGCTGGTTGTTCCAAATTTGCATGTGTAAAACAAGAATTTTGTTTGAGGAGTAGTTAAGGGATTTTTGTTACTGCTTCTGCCCTGTGAATATGCACAAAAGTAAATCTTTTCGATGTTGTTACTTTCTTCTTGGAATGATGGAAACAGCTTTGTTCTGTAACAGAAAATACAGTGGCTGTCCAGACACTGTAAATTACTGTGTAGAGCAAGTACTGAATTATACATACACAAATATAACTGCATCAATAAAAGGATTTCTTCAGATTCATTTTGAGTTTTGGATTCTGGCCCATTTTTATCCTTTCATTCAGTTAATGGTTTAGAATAGCAATTAAGGGAACTTAAAGTCAGTAGAGGTGCTTTTAACATTAAAAGCATTAATTGTACAAGACTAAGTTCAGTCTCCACCTCCAGTTGCTCTTCTCCCCAGAGTCTAGTTTAATTAGCAGTCCCTTTAGGATAACAGCAAGCTGCATTTTCTTTCTGAGTTCTAATGGTCTATACTTCCTTCAGCATAACATCAGAATTTGTTCAGTAACATCAGTCAGTGCTTAAAATGAAAGTTTTTAAGAATCATTTTGTATTAAAACTACTTGCTTGCTTGAGATAACTACAATACTGAGATAGTAGCTTATCTGTCCAGGAAAAAACAGTAAGGCAAAAAGCTGCTGCTGTGTTTAAAAAATAAAAATAAAAGTGTATATATAAAAGAAATCAGTTTGTTAGCATCTATTAAGAGTAGTATTATTAGAGGGAAGGGAGGATGAAGGAGAAAAATCTTAGACGTGAGGTTTAATACAATGGGATTAATTGGAATTTTGATTCAGCTCCCCAGTGGGTCACCTCAGCTCTTCATCCTTCTCAGCCAGGTTAGTGAGCTGGTGTGAGCCTTTGGGGCGAAGCTGGAGAGAGGATAGATTGCAAAGTTGAAAGTGTTTGTGGGAGTTCATAAGCGTTAGGTGCAAGTCACCTTACTGCCCTGTGGGCTTATTCACATATAAATAATTGGAGAATTTGTGTCCAGTGGGTCACTGTGCACAAGCTTCAGATTTCCTTTTGTACTTCCCCTAAGGACTTCAGTATTATCTCACAGGCCAGGTGCCCCACACATGCGCTGAAGCTCCCCTGCACAAACTGTGTACGTTCTGGAGGATGAGACGTGTCACTTCTAATAAGGGATGAAGTGTATCAGTGAATCTCAAAAAAAAATTCTGAAGTTGAAAATACTTTTCCTTAGAAATATCTTGCAGAAATGTTCTGTAGCAGCTAGTTCTAGGAAGTGATTGGAGGCGGGGGGGATTTTTTTCTGGTTAGAGATTATAGTTGCAGCAGTGATTCGTAAAGAAAAAGAAGTATTTGTCAAATACTGATTTTAATTTTTTTTTTAAGAGTGTGGACATTTGTACTGTGAGAGTGTTCTCTATTAGAATATTTTCGACTGTATTGATTGTAACTTTACTCCTTTGTGTGAACTAGGACAGTAATATTTATGTGTGTTAGGTGGTTGTGGCTAACCTTACTTACAGTGAATTACGGCACAACGAGATGGATGCCATTCATTCTAATGCTGTAGGTGATCTTAAGAGTGTCTGACATCCAGCTTAGTTGCTCATCTGGAGGAAAGCTCCGAGTACTGGACTTGTTTTGGATGTCTAGAAAATTACTCTAGTGTTAAAAGTTGGAGCCAGGTCTCTTGATTGTCGGTCTCTTACTTGTATTCTGGATGATTCTGTTCAAAATAGCCTTTTATTACACGCTTGGATTCAGGACTTGGGTTTTCCATCATCTTTGTTATGTATATTGATGAGTTCAGTGTACTTGTGTGAGCATCAATACGGAAATGTAGTGGAACTTCTCAGACTTGTGGAGAATTGTCTGTGGTCTCTGCCCAGGCCTTGAATGCCTTTAATTAGAGTTTTGGTTTGTTGCAGAAGTAGCGGCATTAATCAAATTCAGTGTTTCCTACTAAGTGTAATCCAGCTTTGTCATAATTGTTTTGCTAAGTGAGCAAAAATGAAAGCCATCTGTTTGATGACTTGCAGTTCCTATCATTGTTACATTGCTAGCCAAACAAATACTGTGCTGTAGTTCCATCACTGCTGAGTACTCAGCTATGGTTAATTTCAAGTTACTACAAATAAATTATTTGAAAGTGTAAATATGCTGCCCCTAATGATGTTTGTGATATTAAAAGGTTTGCTCACAGCTGAAATCTCCATACTGACTGAGAGGTACAGTGTTTAAATGTGCTTTTTTCCCCCTCCCTTTCTTTCTCTTGGGACTGTTGCTTCTTACAGGGGCTACGATGACCCCATCGAGACGGAGATGGTTGAAGAGAGGATACCTTACCTTCATGGTGGCTACGCAGCACCACTAGCACAGCCAGAGAGAGGAAGCATGGCTAGTATTGACCGCCTGGGGAAGCGTTCCCCTTCTATTGACAGCATTCGTAAAGACCCCAGGTGGAGGGACCCTGACCTCCCTGAAGTAATTGCCATGCTCAGTCACCCTATCGATCCAGTCAAGTCTAACGCCGCCGCCTACTTGCAGCATTTGTGCTATGAGAATGATAAAATCAAAAAGGATGTGAGGCACCTTAAAGGCATACCTATCTTGGTGGGCCTACTTGATCATCCAAAGCCAGAGGTCCATCGTAAAGCCTGTGGGGCTCTCAGAAACATCTCCTATGGGAAGGATAATGAAAACAAGGTGGCTATAAAGAACTGTGACGGGATCCCTGCATTGATCAGACTATTGCGAAAAACAAATGACATGGAAGTGAGAGAGCTAATTACAGGTCAGTGTCTGTAGTTTCTTTAATGAATTATTTTTTAGAGGAGTCCTATCAGCTTCAGGAGCAAGAATTTCTGGAGATGAGAGCATTGAAGGAGAATTTAGATCACTGGCTGCAGCTGTTCAGCTGCACTACGTTTGTGGTGTGAGAAAGCTTAAAGCAAATGTGCCCTTCAGGAGGAAACTGAGGTTGTCTGTGTATATAGCACACTCGGGTTTCCCTGGCTGCTGAGAGATGGATGATGCTTCTTGGATGTAGCATGTAACTGCATGTGGTTGAGTTACTGAAGCTTAAATGAGTTATAGCAACTTCATTGACAGGTAATTTGTAGTTTGCTTGCCTCAGTGTGCTATAATCATGAGGTAAGATATGCTAATCTAAAACTTTCCTTGTTAATCTCTTATAAAACAATCCTCCTGCCATGTCCCCACTACTTCATATTGATAGAACAGTCAGTCTCCTCAGGAACACTTCCAGCCTCTGGTGCTGGGAACTCTGAGGCTGTACATAAAGTTGCAGCACTTCAGGTCTGGAAAACTCGGATTTTTCAGGAGCATAGTCTGCTGTTGAGATGCTCTGGACATGAGGCTTATAATAAGCAATAATTTCTGCAATAATCAGAAAAGGGGGAATTACATTATGTAGTTACTGAGTTCGTGCAAACTTTGCAGGGAGTTTTCAATCACTTGTAACTCCATTATTCAACCTGTTTTTTATTTGAACTTAATCTTGGATATCATCCAGGAAGAGTAATAAAGTACATGCCAGGTTTCAGAGTTCAGCCATTATGTGGAAGAGGGTGGAAAAGTATGTCAGCTCTTAAACTAAGGACAAATATGCTGTTCTTCATTTTCCTGTAACTCAGGAGGAGTTAAATGGATTTCCCTTTCTTTTCTCAGAAGCAGCAGGGGATGTTTGGATGGAGACCGGAGCAGTTGCAATGAATTTCAGTGCCAGAACAGAATTTTTCAGAAAGTTTTTTGAGTGTGAAAGTGGATCCAGGGATGAAACTATTCAGCTGCCTTATCAGTGTTGGATTCTCCAGGCAGATTCTATTGCAAACACAGATTAAGCCATTAGAAGTAAACATCATCATTCTATAATCGGCTCAAAAAATTATAGCAGCTCTTCAAGTTTTTACTGGTAGTCAAAATTCTCCAAGATGAACAGTGGCCTTGGGTGTTCCAACTGTTCTTCCCCAGCCATTACAGGATATTTAGCAAACTAGGTCTAAATATACAGTGTAGAAACTAGCAGGGATATTTTTCCAGTCTTTTCCCAGTGAGCTGGTAAAGGAGAGCTGTCTGTTCTTTCAGAGAGACCTCTAAGTAGCATGCATTGGCGCATTAGTTGTGCTTTGGTTGCTGTCTGTGCTTTGTCTCTTAACATGGAAGCTCTGTAGGTAGTATTTATATTCCATTTGTGGCACTCATTTAGTATGATGGCTGACTTAGTCTTTATTTTAAAAAAATTAATTTATATGTTTACCTCCTGTTCTAGTTTACTCAAAACTCGTTTTTGGAGTGCTGAGAAGGAATAAATTGATTTCTTTAGATTCAGAAAAGGAGAAGCCAGTCTATAATTTACTCTGAAGGAATATCATTATAAAGCTAAATGGTAATCAGTCACTTTTGAGATGGCAAAAACAAACTGGATGCTTTCCCTTTTCATTCTGAGTGGCAATGGCTTTGATTTCCTGTGGATTAATTAGTTTTACAGTTCAAATGCATTTTATTTGATAGTAGCTCCTGCTAATTAAATATAGTATTTTTATTCCACTTTGGGTTTTGCTATTTAAAGCCCTTTATTTCCCCTTACTAAGAAACACCAGGAATACTGAGGGCATTAACCTAAACAGATGTCCAGCAACAGATGATGTGCATTTAATCTCCACCTAACCAGGAATAATTTAATTCCACTTCTAAAATGATATCACCAGATCCGGTGTGAGACATTCAAGCATCAGTATAGAAGAGAAGAGTATTCCAGCAATGCTTCTGTGACTGATGCTGGTATACTTGCAGTCAGTGTTCAAAGCCTTGGCTGAGAATGTGGAATTGTCTGTTCGAAAAATGAGCTCCAAAAGTCAGCAGAGAGAAATGAGAGCCAGCTTGAGGTGCAAAGGGAGCATTCAGCCAGGGCTGCTGCAGCCTCAGAAATTCAGAACACAATTCTGATATTCTCATGGTAGAAATCTTGAGTTCCTACTTTTGCAGTCAAAGTTTTTCATTCTGTCTGGAGTGAAATCTCAGAGGACTTCTGCAGCAATGCAAAAACGAAAAAAAAAAAAGGCAAGAAGAGGGGAGACAACAGCATAAAGGATTTGCCTGTTTATTTCTTTTAACAGGCTGCAAGTTCAGGTTTGGTGTGACACATTTGACTTCTCTGTGGTTCAGTATTTCTTTAACTCATTACTTGCTGGTTTTTTGAAAGCTGACTAGTAATAGTCAGCTGGTCATCACAAATGTGGATGAATGCTAAAATAATCCTGCTTTCCAAAGAAATATAAGTAATTTAAAGAATTTTCCATAATTCAGATGTCCGAATTCAAGAGCACTTTTGCTTCTCTGAGTGTGGGGTGCTGCCTGCCTGCAGGACACAAGGTACATGGGAACATACAATAAGACGTTATTTGCAGCTGGAGAGGGTGCTTTCTGGCAAAAGAGAGCATCATTCTCATCTAATTTGAGAGTCAATCCTTGGCTTTAGCACAGCTCCATGGCCTCTCATTTACTTGGTGATCTGATGCAGCAGCCCCAGCTGTCCAGCACAATATGAATCAGGCCAGCCAGCTGGGTCTGGTCAGTGGGTTAATGGAGTGGGGAAAAAAGCCGCACCACTGTGTTAAAAACGTGTGAGAGGTAGATGCAGTGGCCAGGGAGCATGAGGGAGCAATCAGATGTGTGACGCTCAGTGCTGAGTGAGCGAGACTTGATGTGTCAAAGGTGTGTTCACTTGACTGCATCCCAGAATATCGGTTTTGGAGAACACAAGTGAGACAAATATATTGACATCCAATTTTGGAAGCAGACTGAGTATACTGATACAACGCTGCTGCCAGATTAAGCAAGTCTTTTTAGCTTTTTTTCTTTCAGATAGCACTGGTTTTAGCAGAATTCGAAAACCTTCTCTGGGTTAATGCCAGCCATTCTTGCTATATCTGCAAATGGCACTAAAACTTGCTGTCGCTTAAGGTAAGACAGATATGTGAGGTGTGTAAAAATACCTTAAAAACTCAAGATACATTCGTAAAATACCACAGATCTCAGTTTTCTTTGTCTTTAGGTGTGGAGTTACAAAAAGTCTCCTATTTACTGCACTAAGAAAAGTTTGATTTAACTGTTAGAGTGTCCGTAAGTAAATCATGAGCAGAGTTGTGATGAGAAATATTCCACAAAATTCTTCCTTCCATCCCTTTCTAGTCTTGAAACTGTACTGATGAACTTTTGGTGGATCATTTTCTTGAGAAATGGAGAGAAATGAGGATTAAGGTGATAAGGAATTAAATCTGTTCTGATTGGGAAAGCTGCAAAAGTTTTATCTTGAGTGATAAGGGGGTTTTGTGGAGGAAATGTTCCCATCAGATATGCAAGACCAAAATTCTATTACATTCTTTGAAAAGTAATCAGAAGTAGGTAGCTTTAATGAATAATTTTGTTCTTTGTGAGAACATCGAAAGTAATTTTGCTGTTTAATGACATTGCATGGATTTTAAGTGATTCAGAACGTGGTTTTACTGATGCTGTATGTTGCCAAACTGGTTTTAATTGAAAATGATTGACCTTCAAAATGCTGTGCAGAGGAAATATTTTGATCTAATACTATAATAGAAACTTGCAGATCGATCAACATGCTCCAAATTCACGCCTTCTGGGCATTTACGTATGCTAAGATCCTGTCAGCTGATCAGACAGTAACTTCTCTTTGAAGTACCATGCTGTCCTGAACTTTCTGGTTACAGATGAGCTTACTGCTTTCTGTTAGGAGGCTTGTCAGAAGAAGGTCCCTTTTCATGGTGTGTTCTGTGACACAGTAGTTCATGTTGACCACTACTTAACTTGAAGAAGCCCAGCTCTAGTCCTGAAGATGATACAAACAAGTCTGTCAAACAAGTGCATACAGGACCAACATGCAACAAGAAGTCCAGGGTGAATATAATGCAGAGTGCTTTAATTTTCCAAATTTGATATGGACCATGGATAAAGAATTAAAACAGCTTCTTCTGATTTCTTGGTGACATTGGATTTTTGGAAGTAAGCGAGCACAGCAGGAAAAAATTCCCCTTCAATTTCAGAAGATGATAGCATGTATATATTCTGCCACAATTTCTTTAGAAGTCTTTTCACAGCTCCAGGGAGGTGGAGATTTAGGGCATTATGGCTGTGGCCCTAATCAGTTTTTTTAATGTTATGTAAATCATATAACTATGTTTATAGCTTACAGTAATTTTAAATATATTTTTACAGTAGTCAATGCTTTTGAAATAAAAACTTGTAGTTATTGTCCCTGCTTAACTTGCTGAGAGAGTAGAGGCAATGGTTGTCATTAGAAATATGTAAGTATATTACAGATAGTATTTACAAATAAAATAAAGATTGATCATGGTTGTGATCATCTTCTGAAAAGCCATAGTTCATTTTCTTTTCTGATCCTAAAATTCATGCAATCTGTGGCCAAAAAGGCCAATACTGGTAGTGAAAGTGCATGGAAAATTTAGATAGCTTCATTTCCCTTATGCTGCTCTGTTAGTGACTTGATTTCTCTTGAGTGCTGTTCATGTGAATTGATTAAACTTAGTTTTAAAAACAGTATTTCCAGCTTGTTAGATCATTAGTGTGTTATGCTAATAGAGACAGGGAATGATTTTTAAAGATGAGTGTCAAATTTACAAGGGTTTTAATTTTCTTTTTACTCAGAATTACTAATGCACTGCTAAAACCTACAGTCTGATCTGAATTTGGTGTGTGTGTGTCCTTTTTTTTTTTTTTTCTTAGTTTCTGTGGCTGTCACTATCACTGTCTTTTCCATGGATTTTGTTTTCTGAAGAGCTGAAAGGATGCTGGGATTTAGACCTCTTTGTTTCATAATTTTGAATAAGAAAAATGCATTGTCAGTGTTTATTTTCTGTATCCTTTCTTGTGGAGTGTTTTCCCAACGAAGTCAACCTTGAATCTGAACTATTTTCTTTGTCTTTGGAACCACAAGGTTCACTCATCCCTGTTTATCTTGGGCTACCTTTCTGTTAAGCTGCATGTTTTCCTTCGCTGAATGCTGTTCAACAGGGTGTTTCTTTTGGTTTTCTTCATGCAACCATCAAGGAGAATATTATAAATATAAGTGGTTTGAAATTTCTGAATAATTTGTAAGAGTTTGTGCTATTTTTTTTAATGATTTTTTTTTAATGAGACTGTCTTTTCCTCCTCCTCACAGTTTGTTGATGTTTTCTATGAAACATTTGAGAGATGGGAAGCAGATGAACAATTGAAAACCTTGTAAACTGTTGAGGTTTTTTTCTTCAAACAGGGTGATGAAAAAGCATTCTCTTAACCTCAGTCCCCGTTGTCTGGTAGCCACTCAATGAGATTGAGAGTCAAAATGTGTTTGCCCTAAATGGTGTATGGCATAAATTGCAGTCAGCCTCTTAATAAAAATTCTGAATGAGTATGTACAAGAGATCCTTTTGTAGAGGCAGGTAGTTCTCTTGGTCTGAATGGGGTTACAGCATCAGTGAAGCTGACTTGTATGTGGTAGTGTGGCAGGTTAGTGCTGTTTTGTGTTGCAATCCAGTTGGAATATTACTGAATCCCAGTCACATTTAGTCTTGAAATAGCTACTGGTGAATGAGAATATAAGAGAAGAGGGAGTTTGGAGGTGATGATTTTGTTTTACACATTGTACTAGACACAAATCTCTAAGTCTTAAAACAAGCGAAAGATTTGAGCACTGGAAAACTTCTGTAATATTAGAGCTTTTGGAAAATTTATAGGGATTTTTGGCTTTTTAAGTATATGTCTGTCTTTGTAGTTTCACTATACACATAACACATGTCACTCCTCCAGGAAAGGGGAGAAGGCAGAATCTCATTTCAGGTGCGAAAGTATGCACATTTAAGGATGTGCATAAATATGAAGGGCTGTCAGATTTTAAAACCTAGCCCTTCCACATACAGATGATTTTAAATCTCCACGTTGTTTCCTGCTGCAATATTTTGCAGTTTCAAAAGAATAGAAATGCGGGATCCTTACAACACTGTACTAGGTTCCTCAGTTGATGCCATCTTTTCCTAATAGTGTTTTTTTGACCACTGCAAATGCCAAATGCTCCATTTATGTTCCTGTGAGGGAGCCCTGACATAACCCTCCAGAACCAGGGTATTCGGCACCCAGTGTTCTCAGTTTGAATCTACATTTGCTCCAGAGATGATTATCCTGGATAATTTCCTAGGATTTATCCATCTTGTTCAGTGCTGGATGTTTGGATTTTGCATTTGAATTTTGAAGTACTGAGCCAGAAACGCATTTAGAGATATAATTGTAATTATTATTTTTATATCGATGAGTCTGATATGCTTAAGGAATTGGTATGTACACAATAACTAAAGAAAGACTGTCTAGTGAAGTATTTAAAATTAATTGGATAACTTATATGTCAGGGTTTGTAGTCATCTTATAAATATTGACTTGCGTTTGTATCTTGTATGATGTATATTTTTAAGCCAATCTGTTAGGAGAAGTAAAGGCTTTCTTCCACAACAAAATGGGACCAGTTAGCATTTTGTGCTTGGTTTTGGTTTTTGTTTCTTACTGTCCATTGCTTGGCGTTTTGCAGTGACAAAGGGTGATTTATTGTAATGGATACAAAGAGAAAATTCATTCATATTTCACCTATACAGTTTTCTTTGAAAGCTTAAAAATGTAGGTTATAAGTCTTATACAGTGTGGTGTCTATGAGTGGCAAGGACAATAGGCCAGAAAAGCAATGTTTTTGTATGGTGTTCATTCTGTTGTCTGCCTCAGAGTTTCTTTATTAGCTAATATGGTCTCCTAAGTCTGAACAGGTGCCTGGGTTTTGTAAAGATCACTTTGAATAGGAGACACCTTAGCATTTGATTTCTGAGGCTCTGCTAATTATCAGTCTTTGAGGTTATCGTATAAGTGCCAGTCACCACTCAAAATGGAGGTAGAATTCCAGTCCTGACATGGTACCTGTCATGACCCTATATGGATAATACTCTGATATTAAAATAGGACGTTTGGCATTTGACACTTCTAACTTGTAGCAGTGGAAGCCTGAGTGTGAAGGAGCGTTCCCACGAGATAGCTGCCTTCGCTCGTTTGGAGGTAGGTGCGGTGGCTCTGCGGTTCTCTGCACACTGGCTCATTGCACAGCTGCAGGCTCCCCCACTCCTGCCTGCTTTCCATTCACTGACAGAGTCCAGCAAGCCCATGTGTTTGTTAGACGGTGTGACAAAAGTAATAGATCCAAAAAGTGTTGCCAGTCATTTTTGAAGTTTGAAAATTGTAGATTTAAAAGCTTGGAGGGATTGAAAGGGACTGAAACAAAAGGTTGCACCTTTGTTGTTTGGTGTTTTGCTTTGGACATGTATACTAAGAGGTATCTACAGTTTGCACTGTAATAGGCACAGATTCACAGTTGCAGTAACATGGGGAGCCTCAGGTTAATGTTAATCCATTTAGGAAAGATTTCTGGGGAATCTAGCTTTTCTATTCAGTCTCTCTGAAGCTTTGCTAGTCTTTACACTTTTCCTCAGAGATCAAAAGTGTGCATCTTGCTCCCTTCGAGTGATGTTACTGATAGTTCTCAAATGTTACCAGGCTGGGCCTATGCAGAAATTTCTCTGAAGTGCATGTTCTGTTTAGCCCTAACCTAATGAGCAGTGACTGTCAGGACACTGATACAGGTCTGCTGGGAAGTTGTATCGCTTATCTCAGTATTTCTACAGTTGTAAGGCTGTTCTTCTGTTCTGCTGTTTTGATGTTTGACTTCTGTCTACTTTGGCTCATAATTGAGGTAAAAATTGAAAGACAAAGGAGTTTTGGTTCTCTGCTCCCTCAAGGAATCGTATGCTTCTGGCACCAGGTGATTTGAACACAGATATTGCCTGTGACAGAAAAATGTGAAAGTAAATAATAGAGAGGAGTCTTGAATGAAATATTGTCTTGTGCAGAGGATAAGCATTAGATCAATGATGCTCTGTAAATTCATCCCTGTTTTTAAGACTTGTCAATATGCTTGTCTGCTGTGCTGGATGAATTTTTACTTTTTGAGGCATAGCTAGACTTAAAAAGTGTAACAAAATTTGTATATAGCAGAAAAATCCTCTTAATCTCGCATAACACATCACATTTGTCTACTCTGTTGTAAGACTTGATGACTTCAAGAAGATCAATGTCTTGATATAAGTGCTTCCATACTTTTGGAAATGTTTCGGTTGCTGTGGCTGTAGAATTTTCCCTAAGCTATGTGCTAGTCTGGCATCTCATCAAGTGGTTTCACCTTTTTGTTGTTTTATGATTTATAACCTTCCAGCAATTCTCTGTGAATCTAGTGATTCTGTTTAATCTAGAAATTTTTAATAGTTAGTCTCTTGTAATCACTGTTTCTACTGCAGGTACTCTGTGGAATTTATCCTCCTATGAGCCCCTGAAGATGGTCATCATCAACCATGGTCTGCAGACACTTACCAATGAAGTGATTATACCCCATTCAGGTTGGGAGAGTGAGCCAAATGAGGACTCTAAGCCTCGCGATGCTGAGTGGACAACTGTCTTCAAGAACACTTCTGGTTGCTTACGGTAAGGCAGAACAGTGAAGGATGAATATGTTCACCATGTGCTGTGTTTAGGATTTTGTTAAAATTACTTTGATTTGAAATAAAGTATCATATATCTCTCATTTTTGCAGAGATCTCCATTTCAATGGCCACAATAGCAATGCTAGGGGGTATTTGCCTGCTGGGGACTCTCTTGTTGTAGGACTTGTCAATGTAGGTCTGTCCAGTGGGGTCAGTGTGAAGAGTATGTCATTTTTCCAGGTTAGGGGGAGTGGATCTATATAGGGCAGTGTACAACACAATGGAGAGTAACCTGGGGAAGGTTAACTGCCAAGCTAAGTACAAAAAAAGCATTTTGCACTGCAAACTGTGCTGCAACTGCTGAGAATCATGGTTTTATTTGTCTATTGTACTGCGATCAGTGGGCTGTTCCTACAGATTTTGAGTACCTTCTCTTCTTCCCCTCATGGTACTGGTTTTATTTATTTACAAAGTGTGGTTTCACACAATTCCCTTCTTGGTTTTAGGTCTTCTCCTATCAAAAAGCATTTTTTGCAGATGCTGGGGAGCTGGTTTCATGGAATTACACTGAGCCTGAAACATGGATCCAGTTTTAGCCAGAAACACTTTGGTGGATGCACTGCTATTTTAAGCTAAAGTGACTAAGGACTTGTGGGAAATTAGTTAAGAACCTGAAGTACTGACATTTCTAATATTCCTTGCAAAGGAGCCTTTTCTTGTTGGAAATTGTATTTGCGTTTCTGAGCACACCTTGAGAGTAGGACAGTAGCTGTTGGAAGCTGGGGTCAGGAGGAGTCCTAATGCTGTCTGAAAAACCTGAAGAATCAATGTTCCCTAAACACAGAGTTTTTAATTTTCTTTTTCTTTGAGATAAAATAGCGGAGATGCCCTGTTAGATTCTTCAGCTTTATAATGAAGTCAATTAGTTTGAACAAAACTAATAGTGATTTGGCATCGTACCTTCTGTTGCTCTGAAGTGTACTTCTGTCGGGTTTCTACTGATGAATGCATCTTCAGAAGTGGGTTCATTTCTGTTTCTTGGGCTTGTGATCTCTAAATTGCAATAACTATTCCCCTGAGTAACTTCACAAATGAAGAAAGTAATGAAAAGTGTTCTGAAAGGGCCCATTACTGAAATTATTTGCAGTCCCACTGGAAACTGAGGTCCTATAAGTAGGCTCCAGACATCATAGGTTTTTACTTACTAGTGTCTTGTTTTCTAATGGTGTTCTGCAAGAGGAAATTAGTCGTGATGGGGGATAAAAGGATTATCTGAATGAATATGAGATTCTCCAGTAAGCGTAGACAATAAATTGATCATTACTAGCTAACCCAATCCACATCATACGTTTTTATTAGTATGTGGATCCACTTGAACTTCTACATTCCAGGATAGCTTTGGTTTGTTGGTTTTGTTTTTTTTTTTTTCACTTCAAAGGTACTGGTTTTACAGGACATGCAAAAACTTGTGCCACTTTGGACGTTGTATTCTTAAGGCTAATGAAGGGGGGTGTGGAGCATAGTAGTACTGAGATACATTAAAGAATTTGAAGAAATTGAACTTTTGGTAATTAAAATGGTTCCTGATGCACTTCAAATGTATCAGGACAGCAGCCAGTCAATGATGCTTGCTTCTGTTCTTGAAGGGGGGTACAGTGTTTCAGTCTTTTATCTATAGTCTCTGCTGTCATAGTCATGTGAGACTATGTGCTTCCTTGTGGAAAATTTGAAGCTTCAGTCAGATGTGGGGCAAGGTGATTTCATGCTTGAAAGTAGTTGCTTAAAGGTGAAAGGAGATGTGATGGCAGGTTAGCAGGGAAAGGTAACCTGGAAAAGGTGATCTGTCCATGGCGCTCTTGTGCTGTGGAAGAGCAACCTCTGGCATAGGAAGTGGGGAGAACTGTCTTACTGTCTCCTTACTTCTTGCAGTGAGATAAAGTGAGTCCAGGACAACAGACAAAGATGCAGGAGTAGGTGAAATACAAGCTGTCTGTCAGTTGATGGTGCCGCTTGTTACAATGTCGGTGATACTACGTACCTTTGTAGAGCACTTCCAGATCTAGGGATAAAAACAGACATATCAAAGTAATTATCATTACTTCTGTTGGAAGTAATTTTGCATTGTTTGTTGAAATCCTCTGCAGCTCATCCTTAAAAGCATCAGCAAGAAAGATAGTTAACACCAGCAGAGAATAAATTGTTGCAGCCATCTGTCTGACAGACGTCAGTGTTTAAAAACCCCTTTGCCTACTCTTCTCTTGATGACACAGTAACTGGTCCTAGAAATACAGTTTTCCGAGAATGGGGAGCTTATTGCAGACTACAAACTCTTTAGCGATTTGGTATTTAATTGGGGGGTTAATCCTCTTGATGGTGTGCCAGCCTCCTTTGTCCCCTCTGGAAGTGAGCCTCAGGTGTGTGCTGCGTTGCCTTCCAAACGGTGAGGGAATCTTTGAACTTCTGAGGTTTCAGATGTCCTTGCAGTCAGGTATCTGGGCAGAAGACAGGCGTTATGCATGCAGGATGGCATCTTTTCAGTATCATTTTTTCAGTTAATGAAGTTCATCAACAGATGTGGGCGAGTTTGTTGCAAACTCAGCGTGAACTGCCAGTTAATTATTTGCCTTTTTATTTTTTTTTACACTGCTTTCTCATCTTTACCTTGTTCTTAATATAGGTCTCTGCTTTGATAATGTGGAGCCTTGGAAACACTTATTTTAAAATAATTGAAACTTGAAAAGTAATTTAAAAAACGGAACAAACAAGCAGAAAACCCCCGACACTTTACCTCTTCTTCAAATCCTGATCCATCCCATTTTCCTTTCCAGTTCTATCCTGTCAACAATACCTTTTTTTTTTCCTCTGTGTAATTTGTAAGTCTCTCTCCCTCCTCGCTTTGGGAGTCCAGATGTTGGTAAATGTCCAGGTCTGAGCAGGGCAGGGTGACTTGTATCCTGCATAGTCAGCTTGGTCTGCATGTGCCTAAGGGTGGATTAATATCTGGTATTAGCAGCACAGATATTGCAGTGCTGCAGGTGTGTGTGGGATGGAAGGATGCTTTAGCAGAGAGGTCAGTAATTGGGTCAGTATCTTAGCAGATATCTGTACCTGTACCAGAGTTGCTTTACTTGGGAATTGACTTTGTAAGATAAGAGGCAGGATCCATGCGCTCTTTTGACCTTTAGCCAAAGCTAAGGTAGCTTACTGGCTTTCTATAACCCTGATTTCTACCCACTTTCTGAAATAATAAAAATCCATCTGTGATGCTTGATGTTGATTTTAGTCTGTATAGCCAAAGGACTTGCGCTCAGGAACAGATCTGAGCTGCTATTTGAGAAAGCCCTGTGCATGATACTGAGCAACGTTGGACCTAGTAAGTTACAAGCTGGAAATCAGAGAAACTGTGCAGTTAGTATTTGACTGGCTTTCTTAATGATAACAATGTCTTTTGCCATGAGTTAAATAACTCTGGGATTGCTTGTGATACTTAGTGGTGTCCATACCAAGCTACCACAGCTAATTGACAATGTGTACGTAGCCACTAAGAATCAATGGAAGAAAAGGCAACTGGTTAAGGTTTATATTGACTTTGGAGATCAGTGTTTATTTTAAGGGCTCCTTCTAAAGTCAAGCCTTCTCCTATGACTGTGGCTGTTGTAAGGATCTTTTGAATCCTGATATCATCTGGAACATGACGAGTGGGTTCTGTGTGCCAACCCCCACTCTGTACTTGACTTGCTGAAAACTCTTCAAATGTTTTGGGAATCCTGTATTCCCCTTTGCAAAATAGACTTGGCAGCGCAGCCAATTTGCAAACTATGATGTGATAATGAAATTTTTCTGTAATCTTTACCAAGAAACACTGAAATTTTCAGAAGCTAGTGCAGGTGATGTTAATTTTGTCTCCATTCTCATCCTGAGATCAGGAAAAAGATACTTCCTCTTACATTGCTGTGTTTTGTTTCTAGGGGCAGATCTGGTATGATGAATGGATCTGCAATATCTGTAATAATTTGACTACTTAAAATGGTCATGATAGATGCTACCTTGGCTGTAATTCTGTAAAATAAAGGTGGTATTATATTTTGTGGAACCTGTTGGGAGAAATCAGTATGGTGAAAATCTGGAGAGGAACAGTAAAAAACAAAGCAAAGACTGGTTTATTGAAATTAAGTGGGGTTTTGGTTATGGAAAAGTAGGACTAGGGAAGAAGTAAGGAAGACATTTGCTAGCAAAACATTAAATATGCACAGATATTCGTTCCTTTAATTTGGAGTACAAGTTTCACGTCTTTGCATTGTATTTTATTCTTTTAGGTATGTTGAGACTGTCTCTTCTAGTTACTGTCTTTTTTTTTTTCTTTCTTTCTTTAAATCCCTATTGGGATTTGCAGTCCAGAAGCGTTCATTTTTAAATTGTTCTCTCCTCCAGTTTAAATAATGCAATGATTTGGTGCATCTTAACAAGACCATTTTATGATCCTTCCTACAACTTTGACCCAGACATTAAGGTGCTTTAGAAGAAGAGTACAAGCTGAATTGCTTGCAGGATTGATGGAGCTACGGCTGGCTTACGTGCACCCAGACAGTGCCAGAGACCTTTGCAGTGTCTCCAGGTTTCTCTTAAGATGCTCCTCTGCTTTAGAGGAGAAGTGCCACATCTGTGGGTCAGAGGGAGCTGCTGCATCACATTATCTTTCTCGTTTTCTGTGTAGATATCCACCATGATTCCTAGTTCTCTGGAAGCAGCAAGGATTTTAATGGTTTTAAAATGAAATTAATTCTGGGCTTAATTGCTGTTTTCTGCCTAATTACTTTTAATTCTCCCTTGGATTTTTTCACTTCTAAGAGGACAGAGTAGAACTTAGTTCCTAAATTGCCAACTTTCTAGCCTCATTCCTGTGCTAAACTGACCTGCTGTCAACAAATGTTAAATGAATTAATTTGCATAGCAAACAGATGCAAAGTGCTCCTTTTTCCAGAGTACCATCTGTAGTTGCAG